ATACTTAGTATCCCGAAATTTGGCCTCCAAATTAGGTTAAAAACATGGTAGAATTGCATTCCGTGAAGAGTTGGAGTTGAAAAAGGAAACAGAACTATTTTGCCATTTTTACCGTGCGATCGTAGGGCTATCGACATATACATACCTGTTGTACAACACACTGGTGTTATGATTGGGATGGGCACCACACATACTATAATGAACATCGTGTTGCTCCTGAACAGCATAGTGTCCTCCTCAACCCCAAGGCGAACAAAAAGCAAATCTAATTATGTTTGAGACTTGCCCTCCGGAGCATAGTCCAGTGGTGCAAAGGACAGGAGTGAGGTTATCTCACGCCTTGCTGGTAGCCGCAATGTGGAGGTTCGATTCCTGAGACATGAAATTGGACTCCTTGTAGGTGCAGTGTACATGCAGTTCTTGTTCCCTGACCTGCTAAGACACATCCCGCGATTTACCTCCATCACAAAGCTTTAGGAGCGGAGCGATAGGGGCCCTCAAGATTGGAGTTCAACCTTTTTTTTTTATATAATTATGTTTGAGACTTTCAATGCTCTGGCCATGTATTTTGTGATGTAGACCATTATTTTCATTTATGCTAGTGGTCGTACAACACGTATGTGTTGATCGATAAAAAAATTTAACAATCTTCACATTCAGCTTGTTTAATCTTTTTTTCTTAACAGGTATTGTACTTGATTCCGATGAAGGTGTGAGGCACATTGTTCTAATTCATGAGAGGTATGTGCTTTTTCCCATGCCATTTTGCGATTGGACCTTGTTGGTTGTGATATGTAATTGCATATTATGCACTTATTCAGGTTTCTATTCTTAATTATTTATTACTAAATTGAGCGAATATTTATCTAATTTTTTGTAAAATATATTAATTGTAGGTAAACCCCAACTTAGATGCATTGGCATGAAGAAGACATTTTGGAGCTTAATTGGAATTGATTCGGAGAAAATTGAAGATCATCCGAATTGCAAGCAATCAATTAGAAGGATTAATAGAGCATTCGAAAGAAATTTACAAATTTGGGGAGTTAAATTCAACTATTGAAAAATTTGGGATCAAATTGCTAACTCTAAAAACTTGAGACTAACTAATTTCGAATGATTATTAACTTTTATGGATAAATCTTGAAAATGTTGTAAGTTTTGACATAAAAAATGAAGTGTAGGATAAAAGGAACATGGTTGGACGAAAATTTGAAGAATGGACCAAGGCCTCATGAAAAAGGTTGAATTGGGAACAAACTTGAATGAATCTAGAAGAAGAAGAAGGCCTTGTGACTCCATATGTTTGTAGCTATGCAATAGCAATGATTTAATTTGTATCAGCAGATTGTTTTTATTTATAATACTGCGAATGTATAGTTGTACGAAACAAAAATTATTTTCTTTTCTATTTTGATTCAGTTTCTACTTAGGAAAGTAATTAGGGTACAATTTTTCACCTAATTTTGGGCCTATAATTACATATTTTTGTCTACAATTATAGAGAAGGCTTGTGGAAAATCCATATTCACATTTTATTCTAGTCATAGAAGGCTATTAGGGTTAGAAATTCTGTAATTCTTTTGAAGGATAAGAATCAAGAGGAAGCTTTTGATCATCAATTACATATTTTACCACTATTTTTGGTTTTGGATCTTCCAAATCATCCTCACAAGAGATCCAAACCCCTTTTTTTCCTGATCCTTCGAGAAAAAGATTCATTCTCTTCATAAAAAATAGGTGGTAGAACTAGTAAAGATTTCTTTTTCGATTCATCCATGGCCTCATTCATGAATTGTTTTCGATCCAATCCATAGGAATCAATAAAAAGGGCAAAACCCTTATAATACACGAGATCTGGCTCAATTATTGATATAGTGAATAGATATATCATTTTTTGAAATCTCTCTTCTAAATCAAAATCATTGTATGACATGTATCGTCATCTATTTCAAAATATATTCACACACTTTTTTCCTCTATTGCTTGGTTTGAAGAAGAAGACTGGTCAATGAGTCATTGAAGAGATTCAAGACTTTCAAAATTTCTTTCCATCTTCTTTCCAAACTTTAATTTCACATGATATTGTATCAATTTTAATTATTATTTTTTTTATAATTATATGATAATTGGCTAATCTCATAGATGTCAGAATAACGTTGAACCCTACGCTTTGATATTTTGATATAAAATTCTGAATTTTGACATTAAATATATGTTTGATTATCGAATGATGGCTAGAAGTTTAATACTTTTCAATTACTTGATCACTCATTGAATTATCTTGCGATTCTATAGACATTCGAGAAAAAAGAATAGAAATTAATTCAACACGTAGTAACAATCATTTAAAGTCTGATAGAGGATTAAGATATACTATTATGCATAATCTTATGAATGTTCTTATTATTTAATGTATCTTTGCATGCTCGCATCGCTTATATAGTTATAGGATGGTTATATGTGAGGATAAGTTTAGCTCTATATGAGAGATCAGTAAACAAATTAGGAGAATTAATCTTCATATCCAAATAGGAGTTGTCTAAGTTTTGAATTGATATTCAAGTAGGTGAATGTAGAGGGATTTGAAGTCCTAGTGTTCGTCAATTACTTGGGTTTCATAATGCTTACAATTAATTAGTTAGAGTAGTTACAATTAAATAAATCTCATCCATCATCTAATCTTGCTATTCAATTAAAGTTGGTTTAGTAAAACTAGATTAAATACTTAGTTTGTGTTAGAAAGATACTCTACTCATGTTTTATTACTTGGCTACTGTACCATGCACTTGCAATATTTTAGCAAATAAATTTTTTGACAACATTGCCAATGACAATGTTACTTTTTCTTCTCTTTTTGCCACCGATCTACTTATTTTTTCTGATTTCATTGACAAGAACAGAGCAAAGCGAAAGATCGAAAGCAAATAGAGACATGGGATCCTGAATATGATTAAGAGAATATGCCTATGAGGGAGTTCACAGCCCCTAAATCACTTTCAATTGGCTATAATAATCTCCAAAATGGATACACAATGGAACAACTAAAGAAGAATACGATGAAGAGATCGATGAGTTATTCATGACAAAGCACTATGAGTCAGTTGTAGTCAATGAAGAAAGAATTGGCATGAAACATCCAACTTCATTGATATCGTGATAAAATTCGGTGTTCATGTGTGTATGAATCAAGTAACGTAGGCAAGTCATATGATATTGATGGCATAGTCAACCTACACTTAGTATGCAAACTAAGAAAGATCTTTAAAACTATATTCAAAGTGCCATGAAGTAATTGTAAAAAAGTTGGGCTAGGAATATAAACAAGCTCTTATTGTGGCCTAAACCCAATTTTCTTTACCCTTTATTTATTACATTTTAAGTAACTGAATTTCATGTTGTGAGTTATGATTGTTTTTAGCTCTTAGACACGTTTAAACATTGTCTAGCTTAATTTTTTAGTATTTTATATTTAGGGTAGTACTCCTAGCTTCACAATTATACCAATTTTTTCCTCATTCCACACATACATACCTCAAATTAGTTTTAAATCTCGTGTGATTATAATAATAGTTATTTCTTCTATTTCATTTTAGGTATTATGAATATATTTTCCAAAATGTCCACAGGAAATAAAATTACTAAAAGACCAAGTTCTAATATAGAGATATATAAGGCGAGTATTGCTAACCTTTCTTAAATATGTACACATTGAGGATAATGTGTATTTTAGGTTTGGGTGTAGTTTGGCCCTTATTTGATGGGATTAAAATCAGATTTTTAATAGATTTTGATAGAAATTAATGAAATATATGGTTAAAAAGTTGTAGGATCCATAAAATATGTAGTTACAAATAATTATTGAATAAAATATAGATTTTAATTTCTACAAAATAAGGACTTAATTAGTTTGTTATATTTGTTTGTTTGTGTGATATGCTAAAAAAGGTCAAAAATATTGTATTTGTTTACGTGCTTATTTGAGTTGGAGAACCTTGTCCAGTGTTTGTAATTGTTTATGATGTACAAATTGTGACTAGGTGATATATTTTTATTTTTGTTTTTCAATTTGATAATTAATCATGTGAGGTAGTATTATGTTGAGCACAATAATCATGATTGTTGGTCATGTATATTTGGATTTGTTATATTGATGGTAGGTTGAACGAAGTTAGATATTCAAAATCAAAATCATATTATGTAAGACAACCACTTCAACGAATAATTTGTCGATGGATTGATCTACTATAAAAAACTATTTCGATAGGTGCTAATTATGTGCTTGTTACGTGGAGTGCGCTCGGCTAATAATCTATTTGAGAAGCATATTTCTTTAGAAATAGAAAAATTCCTACCCTTACTTGTCAAATTCAATCCACAATCGTTGACTTTTATGAATAGGGTCATAACGACATAATTTCTCATTCTCATTTTACCAAGGAGCCGTGCTGATTATACAAGCCCTGTTTCACAAAGCTTGTACAGGCCACTCACAGATGGGGGCAGGGGGTGGGTGATTATTTGAAAAAGAAAAATTACCCC